AAGTGCTCGTTGAGACGTGGTAACCCCACGGGAGCGACTCACTTATCGCATCCCCAGGCGCATCTGAAGAGATCCCAAGCTGCGGCCAATGCTGTCAAGCCTGTCCAGGAGGAAGTCAACAATTCCATTCCGCCTTCCAACGGTCTCCCCGGTGCAACGTATGCTGAGGGGCCTGTGAACGGCAATGGCATGGCTCCCGCCCGTCCAGGTTACACGGAACAGCAGCCTTTGGGTTTCTCCATGTCGTCTGTCAATGGGATGAACCGCGGTCCTCCCGAGGACGCTTATCCTGCCGGTCAGCCTCAACAGAGAGGTCCCTGGCTTGCTGCTCCTAAGCAGAGCCCGTACATGGTTCAGCCCGGTGCTGATGCCTCTGGCCAACAACTCAATGTTGACCGTCCTCCCCTTGAGCAGGTAAAGCCCCCGGTTATTCAAGATCCTAAGCGCCCTGTCATGCCTGGCCCCACTCCCAATCATGCTGGCGAAATTGACTGGACTTCGATGTTTCAGCCCGGAGGTTCCGACGGTTACATCAACCAGGTCTTCCCTCAGCAGACCATGGCCGCCGGCCAGGAGCCGATCCACGCTCACGTTGACGCTGAACGCAAGTTCTACCCCACCACCACCGCCCCTGGTCCCCAAGAAAGTGGCATGAACGGACTTTATCTGGCTTCAACTATGAGCGGCGACGGTAAGTTGAAAGGACACCTGTTAGAATTGAGTTCGGTGCTAACTCACCTGTCATCTAGGCACCGTTCAGCCCGCCCGCCAATAGTTGCGAGTAAATGAGGGCGGATGTCTGTATCTTGACCACGCTGAACCCAACAACATGCAATTGGCGCGAAAAGGAGTTTTTTCCTTTAAAGAACTCGAATCAAAATATCACACTACCTCCCATCGGTGGGATTACGTGTCATACGACGTTACGCATTCAAGATCTAAGGACATGTGCAGTGGTACCGGATCTTACATTGGGGACGCTTGTGCATATACGACTCTTTTTCGGACCTACTTGACGTCTCTGATCCTCGATTTCACTTCAATACTCCGAATCACTCTAGATACTCGGATTACGTCTTCTATGGATCAATCTGAAAGCCGCCTTGACTTCCGAACGAGACAGAGGAATGATAGAAAAAAAAAGGAAGAATTACTCGATTGGTGAAACAAAAGTTAGACAAAAAAAAAGAAGCAATGACGATAGAAAAAAGTGGGTTTTGGCCAGGCCCAAGAAGTTCGCGCAGTGCGCATCGGCGTGGTCGGATTGTTCAGCGTCCAAATCTCTTATTGTCATGAAAACATTTTCTTTCTGCAGGTATAGTGATTGAAACTTCCTGCGATGAAATACACAGTGTCAGCATTTCTACGGCGAGTGCAGTTTTGCGGTGGTTCAGGATCTGTTTTATTTCTCGTTTTACTGTTTTCCTCTTTCCATCCATTATGAGTGATTTTGATGGGATGGTGTGGTTTTATCCGGCGTCCAATCATAGACTTGGGCATGTGTTTCTATGCGAATGTGCTTTTTTTTCTTCTTCTCTACTTCCCTTTGTCATCGTTCATGTGGAATGAGATCAAAAGAGTTTTGAGTGGAAGGCTTCTTTCTGTCGATGCATCACCCTGATTTGCATGGTCCATTCTCGCGAATTTTCTTTCCAGTTGCATCAAGAAAAAGAGTGTGCTTGGCCTCTGTTTGCATAATCATCACGGCCGTTTCTCAATCTTTCATGTCAGCTCCCCCAGTCCACCCTGTATGTAGAGCCGATGTGTCCCTGATAGGGTATGCACGTTCGGACTGGGGTTGCCAAGGTGTTTTCATACACGTCGCTCATACAAAGTCATCTTTGAATGCTTTTCCATCCTCGTGTGTTTTGTCAGGTCTGTTGCGTATGGCCTGTTTGTTTTCTCTTTCTTTCCCCCATTCTCTGTGACTTACATTGTCATCTGGGTGTGGCCGGGGTTGCCTATGGAATCCGACTGCTGCCGAAGGAAGGCCAGCTAGCTGTGTTGGCGCTTCTTGAGGCCTGGTTCGGTCGAATTGCCTGGATGCATATCCCTGGCCAACCCCTGCATGGTGTTGCGACGATTATTCTATCTTACGGTGTTCTCCATTTCCAGTTCCTTGTTCCGGAAGGAATTGTCATCATGAAAAGGGCTAGAATTACCTCTCAGAAGGAACAATAATTTTGCCCATGCTCATTCTCAGCTCATTCGTTGGCGTATGCAACTTGTTCACGGTAGTTGTCGGATGCTACGGGGAATATCTCCGCGGTAGACAAGTGGAAGAAGGCAGGAAGAATAGCCATGCCATGTGGCCTGGAGTAGTGTGAGGGAGTGACAGACAGGTGATTGATTCATTTGGTGGCCCGACCGAAGCCGAAGAGCCGTTGGTAGGTAGGTGGTAGTACAGTACCCCCGTACCATTCGTACTTAGAAGGTAATAGCCCCTTTGGTCCGGAGGAGGGGAACATCCCGGGATTTTCCTATCCCCTCGAACCCTTGATAGATGGAGATGGAGATGGAGATGGGAATGGAGAACGAAAGTGTGGAGAGATAGAGTGGGGAAGGATCTTCGGGACACTAAGTATCCATGATGTATAGTTACCACTGGATACCTAATAGTTAGGCAGCTTTACTACTACTGCACTTGTACAATAGATACATATTTTGTCACCCTATAAACTTGGTTAACGATTGCTCATAATCTCAAGTAAACCTCGGATACTGTAAGATTTCCACACAGCATGTCTTGTATTAAGTTGAATGTCGACGTCACCGCCTGCCCCGGATCGTGGATTGGTATTTCCCCGCCGTGATTGGCCGTCACCCACGGGATGCTCCGGAGGACTGCGACTCTTGCCTTCCCCCCCCCAAACCTCCTCCCATCATCCATCCGTCCATCATCCTTCCTTTCTCCCTTGCATCAATTTTGACTCAACCCTATTACAAGGATTCTTACATGCTATTTCATCTTCCTTCTCGTGTCGACGTCGGACATTTAACCGCCTGATTGCGCCTTGTCTCTCTATCAGTTCTGTTAGACCCCAATCTAGATCTCGACTCCTCCGCAACTCCGCGGCTACCCACAACTCCGAACTCCACCGACCTCTCCGCTACATCCACCACTTCCCCTCACACGAGATCTATAGATATACGCGAGAAAGCCAACCCCCGCTTCGCAGCACTCGGATCAGTATTAGTACTTATTTTCCTACCCATTTCCTTGCACTCCTGGGACATCCGATACGTGACCGGTGGTTCGAGTCCACCGTTTAGCCTACCTCCACCGACTTGTCAATCCCAACCTCAACCACTCCTCATATATCATCCATCGCCTCCCTCTCAGCCATCACAATGTCCACGAACAGACCATTCCTGGCCAATTTCCTTGCAGCCTTCCGGGCACAGTCTACATACAAAGCCTCCACCGCCGGCACTCAATCCACGTCAGCCTCGATATCCTCTGCCCAGATCTCCCAGAGTGCTGCTCGAGCAATCGCCACGAAAGCCAGCAACAACTCGGAAGCGTCCTCGGCATCCTCCTCCACAACACACCATTATCATCATCATTCGACCTCCTCATCTTCACACTCTCGCCCGCACTCCCACCACCGCGGCCCCCTGGCCCAGGGCCAAGGCCAGGAGCAGTCCAGCCCCGCATCCCCGCCCCCGTCAACGGCCGCGACTCCACCCCAAGCCGCCGCCGGCGCATCGTCTCCCCCACCGACTCCTGCCGCCTCGAACCCTATCCCCATCACCAATAGCCATGGCCGTCAACGGCGCGGCAGTGACAGCTCCAGCGGCTCGAGCGGGTTCCGCGACGCCCTTGGTCCCGAGAAATGGTACATCGGCGGCCGGACGCCCGGCGGCGAAGAGAGGTTCTATCGATTAGGCATGGTCACTAAGGGAGGGGGTCGCCTTGGAGGAAGCGGCCGGGTGGGGAGCATCGATCAGCTAAGTCTCTGATCACTATTGAGGCTGGCTTGATTTGGGATCCTCCCACTCACAGGGTCTTCTTCTCTCTGCTTTCTTTTTGGTGACTGGCCTTTGGGGCCACCGGGACTTCCTTGATGCGAACTACATTCCGGCTTTGTGAATCTTCCTATTTTTATATACCTCCGGCGTCAGAAGATTATCCAGGAACGGAGAGGGGCTTATGGGACTGGCGTTGCTGTTTGGCGTTTGGGCTTAAAAAAGAACTTGCTTTAATTTAGGTGTCGGGTGTCGTTCCCATCGGGAGTGATTGGACCTAGCGCAGATTGACAAATAGGGTTTGGTATTACAATCCCGACCTTATATGCGAGTTTGTCTCTGCTTGTGTTTGAGACAGATACTGGGGTGGAAATCAGATATCTGTACATGAACGACACCTCTCTCTCTCTCTCTCTCTCTCTCTCTCTTTCTCTAGTGCAGCTTGCCGTGGTGTCCCTCGCATTGCCTGCGTGTCCACATCAGATCTTGCAATGAAGCGAGGCAATGGGCCAAATCATGGCGGTCCGTGTTGAGTCAGGCTGCTTCGATAGAAGGGGGCAGATTGGCAGGAACCAAGTCTGAGGGAGCGACCGAGCCTATTCAAAAGTGACAGGGTTATATAGACCTGGACTTGATAGGGTTAGGTAGAGCTGAGTAGTGTGTCGACAAACACGTACTTTTGAAGTCCAGTGTTTTACAAGATCTTTCCCATCCAAGGCTCGCAATTAGAAGGATGAACATCTTAGAGTATATACTCGAGTCCTGACCTACGGCAAACCAGGCAATAGGCACAGTTACACCTGCACATGGTACTGTATATCGTAATTGTACTTACCTAGTAGCTAGCTAACTATTGAGTCCTCCTCCTCCCCCAATAACGCCGTCCGCTCATCAACCCCCGTCCTCCCCACCGTCCTCCTTCTCCCCCTCCGCACCCCGCAATTCCTCATCCACTTCCCAAACCTCCCCCAAACACCCACTCTCCCAAGCAAAGAGAACCCACCACCACCACCACCACCACCATTACCACCACCCTCCCCCATCCAACACATCAACACTCCCATCCCCGCCACCAACCCCGCCAAACTCCCCGTCATCACCGCCCACCCAGCCCGCCACTCCACGAACCCGCCCCACAGGGGTCCCACAAACAGCCCCAAAAACTGCGCCATCGTCTGGATGCCGAACGCCTGCGCGACGGCGCCCTTGGGGCCGAAGACCGTGGGGTCGCGCGCTTCCAGCGCGGTCAGCGCGTGTTGCGTCTCGAGGTACAGCGCCGGCGTGCAGAGGTTGATGAGGAGGCCGATGGCCGTGAGGCAAGTCAGGAGGAGGGCGATGTGCGTGGGGTGGGCGGTGGTGACGAGGCGGAGGGTGAGGAGCGGGAGGGTGAGGCAGGTGAAAGAGGTGAGCGCTATTAGGCGGGGGCCGTGGGTGTCTGTTAAATGGCCTTTTCCAGTGGTTAGTGGGTTGAAAAGGGGGTAAACGGGAAGGGGGTCCAGTTTAGGGGTTGGGGTTTGGAATGGGGGGGGGGGGGGTATAAGGGCATATGGGGGGCCCGAGGATAAGAACGTACCGAAGTAGGGTTGGAAGAGGGCGGTGATGGCGGAGGGGAGGAAGGCCATGCCCGCGCCGAAGGTGGTCCAGCCGAAGCGGGATTCGACGAAGATGGGGATTGTCTGTTTTCCATGGAGAAGTAAGAAATTGTGGGTTGTTGGGCGTGGTCTGGTTAGAGGGCATCGGGGAAGCTTACGGCGTCAAAGGCTGAGTAGAGGAGGCCGTGGACGAGAAGAGCTCCTGAGGAGATGAGAATCCGTGGTTGGCTGAGGATTATCAGTATCGCTGGCTTCTTATGTTGGTCGTTGTTGGACATCACGGAAGATGATGGGGAGGGCTGTCCGGTTGGCAACGCGGCTGGTCGCTGCTGCTGCTGCTGCTGCACCAGACTGTCGCTTGACGTATACCCATCATCCTCTGGGGATGGCGAGTACGATGCTGAATGCGTCTGCAGCCACCGTTCGGCGACGGCCTTCTCGACCACCGCGACTCGCATGAGCAGATCGATCCCCACCATGGCAAAGGCGATGGCGAACACAGCCTGGTACCCGGCGACTCGATAGACCAAGCCGCCCAGCAGCGGACCCAGCAGGAATCCCAGGGCGATGGCCGAGCCCAGGTACCCGATGGTCTGGCCGAGGTTGCTCGTGGAGACCGAGTCTGTGAGCAGGGCGAGCCCGGCCACGGCGACCATGGCGGTGGCCGCGCCCTGCAGCATGCGGGCCATGATGAACACCGCGATCGTGTGCGCGAGAGCGAGGAGGACCATCGATGCCCCAAGGAAAATCAGGCCCAGGAGGTAGGGCATCCGGCGCGTGGGTGCCGCATCGAGCATGTATCCGAAGGCTGGACAGCAGACAAAGGCGACGGCAGCTTGGCACATCAGCAGGATGCTCACCCAGAATTCTCCTGGATGAGGGTTACCGCGAGTTAGCTTGGGATATAGATAGCGACCAGAGCATTGAATCGGCAGTGTTCGACTTACGGTCTTCATATGCGACACCGGCGCGGTCGACCAGGGCAGTAGGCATAACAGGTACGATCTTGCGCAGAGCTGGTTAGCGGTCGATGGCAGAGCATGGCCCTTTTCACTGATGACCTACCATCGCATAGAGAAAGTAGTCCTATTATCACATCAGCCATTGCATCGAAGAACATAAGGGTACCCACCGTGAAGAACGATGTCCAGACCGTCGCGATGATGAAACCCGTCGACGACCGCCATCGCAACATTCGGGGCGGACGACGGCTCATTGTCCACATTCTAGTTTACTCAATGATACTACGAAGTAAATCGCTAGCTAGACTTGAGCAGATTTTGTGGTTTGGTGAAGCGAAGAGAGAAGCGTTGCAACCATTGCCTGAAGCGGTGGCTAAGCTGTGGCTAATTTACATTCTGGTAGGAAAATCGTTTTCGGTTTGCGGGCGGATTCTCTTTCTCCCACGCACTCAATAATGACGACGAGAACCATAACCGGCCACTCCGCCGTCGTCGTCGCAAGAAAATGAGCAAAAACTTACGCACATAGACATAGACATGGCAAAGGCAATAATAGAGCTTCCGGCGTCGCTTTCCTTTCGATGTGCAATGTTCAAGGATGGATCTGACGTCTAGTCAGACTGAGCTGAGGGCAACAGCCGGATGTGCATGCCGAAGAACAATAGAACGAGAGAGTAAGCAGTCAATTCAACCAGAAACCGTGATCTGATCCCGGACGACGAGTGTTCTGTTGGGGATCTCCGTCCTCCGCTTCGACTGAAAAAGCATACGCATGCATGTTGGGAGGGATATGGCCTGACCACAAGCATAATAAGTTTTATTCTGTTTACTGGTACTATTATTGACAGGGGAGGCCAGCTCCAGCTCCGTACAGCAAAGCAGGATCAAATCCCGATAAGATAAGGATCCAAAAAGTGCGGAGGCCGTCGAACTGGCGCGGGTTTCGGAGGTGGCCGATAACGAGCGATCCTCCCCCATCTTCCCCTTCACCCCAAGGGCGAAAGCGAAAGCTGCCCCAACTTAAAGACGCTTTTGTTCCCTGGTTGTACGGTCGTTTTCTGTGTACCTGCATACCCTGCACATTTGCTCTTTCAATCGGACATTTTCCTCTACCTCCTTCTTGTTGTTGTTGTTCCCCTCCAACGAAAACCATCCTCATCACCCACCCCATCCCCCACCATACCATGTCTTCCCCCATCACTGCGGCCCGCTACGGCAAGGACAATGTCCGAGTATACAAGGTCCACCGGGACGAGAAGACAGGCGTCCAGACCGTCGTCGAGATGACCGTCTGTGTTCTCCTGGAGGGAGAGATTGACACCTCGTATGTTTCTTCCATTTTTTTTTTTTGTTTCTGCTTGTGTCCCCCTCCGCTCCCCTCCGCTCCCTTGCATCAACGGAACCGGCTAAAATCTCTAATCTATGACACAGTTACACCAAAGCCGACAATAGCGTCGTCGTCGCCACGGACTCCATCAAGAACACGATCTACATCCTGGCGAAGCAGAACCCCGTGACGCCGCCGGAGCTTTTCGGCTCGATTTTGGGCAACCATTTCGTGACCAAGTACCCGCACATCCACGCGGCGCACACCTCCATCGTCACGCACCGGTGGACGCGCATGACCATCGACGGCAAGCCGCACCCGCACAGCTTCCTGCGCGACGGCGAGGAGACGCGCAACGTTCAGGTGGACGTGGTCGAGAAGGCTCAAAGCATCGGCATTGACATCCGCTCCTCGCTGGCCAAGCTGACCGTGCTCAAGAGCACCAACTCGCAGTTCTGGGGCTTCTTGCGCGACGAGTACACCACCCTTCCGGAGACCTGGGACCGCATCCTCAGCACCGACGTCGACGCCACCTGGCAGTGGCAGAAATTCGCGGGGATCGAGGCCGTCCGCGCCGCCGTCCCCCGATTCGACGCCACGTGGGCCGCCGCCCGCGAGATCACCCTCAAGACCTTCGCCGAGGATAACTCGGCCAGCGTCCAGAACACCATGTACAAGATGGCCGAGCAGATCCTCGAGCGGCAGCCCCTGCTCGAGACGGTGGAGTATGCGCTGCCCAACAAGCATTACTTTGAGATTGGTATGTTTCTTCCCCCCACCCCCTTTCCTTGGATGAAAAGAGGTGGTAGGCTGACATTTGGATGAATAGATCTGAGCTGGCACAAGGGTCTGAAGAACACCGGCAAGGATGCCGAGGTGTATGCGCCCCAGGGTGGTCCCAATGGTCTCATCAAGTGCACCGTTGGTCGCAAGTCCAAGGCCAAGTTGTAGTGTAGTTCTTTGTTGGACTTTTTCCTTGCTATTGTCGTTTTCCAGCGGTTACTTGGGAGTTGTTTCCGGCTCAAAGACACCCACTTCCACTTCTTTTGTATATAGTTCCTTCGTTGGGATAGGGGTATAGCATTTCACTGGATTGGCCGGTTATGATACAGCACAGGCCTTCCAGTAAACTGGTACGGGTGCAAAATCAACGGCGCATCTTCGAGTAAGTAGGTGTTGTAGATCGACAGCAGAGAGTAAAAAAAGACCTCAAGCCCGGCGCCTCCAAGACACATCAAATCAGATGAATGTATAGATTCGGACCGAAACAGAGAAGAAATGAACATTGAGAACTCCCACCCATGCGCTAGCAAGTATTCGTGACAACAAGGGAAACAAGATATGGTACGGGATATAAAAGTACAGGAAAACAGAATACACAAGTCGGTCTTTGGTATCCGCGAAGAAGAAGGGGGAGGAAACAGTCAAGGCACTTAGGGATAGCACGATGATAGAAGCCATCTCAATCATCTGGCGAAGTGACAGATAGTTGCGACTCTTCTCATGCCGACGCCTCCACCTTAGCCGCCTGGAAAGCCTGCTGCACCTCGGGAAGCTTTCCGATGACCGACTCCTGAGCCTGAGCCTGAGCCTGAACACCCGTCCCACCGATCTTGATGATATTCTGCTCGTAGGGGTGCTTGAGACCTTCGAAAGCTGTTGTACACCAGGGAAGGGTGGTCAGTAAAAGACACAATTCGCGCTTCATGCAACATGCTCCCCCTAATATACGGACTACTCACTCTTCAACCGCGCCAACCGCTTATCCCGCAGCCGGTTCTTGGGCAGCATGCCGCGGACGGCGCGGCGCAGGACCTCGCCGCCGCCCCATTTCTCGAACATCATATCCATGGTCATGCTCTTGAGGCTACCGGGCCGGGTGGTGTGGGTGTAGTACTTCTTCTGCTGGCGCTTCTTGCCGGTGGTGCGGAGGTCGTGGCAGCCGACGGCGACGACGTAGTCGCCGCAGTCGGTGGAGGGGTCGTAGATGGGCTTATTCTTGCCCATGAGGACGAGGGCGATGGAGGAGGCCAGCCGGCCTAGGGTGCGACCGTCACTGCCCACGTCGACGTGGTGCCATGCGCGCGAGTAGGCGAGACGGGTCTGTTTTTATATCGAAGACAGAAAAAAAAAGTCAGTTTGAGGGCAGCAGCAACAACAACAACAACCAAGACAGAAGACAAAAGGCAATTGATTAAGTAAGGAAAGAGTTAAGGAGAAGAAATACCTTTCCAATGGTCTGCGACATCTTGATATGTCGATATAAAAACGAAGAACCAATGATGCTGATCTCAACAAGCTCACAACTCACAACTCACTATCTTTGCAGGCCCCCAAGTCTCTCCGGGTCCCAGCCAGCCGGCCAGCCGGCCAACCGGACCAACCTTTCCTCCGAGAACCACCATTCCCCCCATCCCCCAGCATCCACGTGACCACCACTCGAGCCCTACCCGTTCTAGCCCAAAACGGGCCTAGCGCACCGCACTAAGCGAAATCGTCCGCACGGTGCGTGCCAGCCGCGACCTGCCACAAGCCCGCCCTGGGAAGAAAATTAATACGCGAACAGGAAAACGACGGACGACAATCGACGACGACGCACCCTCTCTCCCACCCGACGTACTTCCCACCCACCCCAGCAACACAGGGCCATTCAGACATCATGGCTTCCGTCCCGAGTGTGCAATGCTTCGGCAAGAAGAAGACGGGTGAGTTTTTGTTTATTTGGTGATTTGGACATAGCAAAGAAGGAAAGAGGGAAAGATGGGGTCGCGAGCACTGGAGGAGGAGGATGCGCCACAACCTTTGGGATAGATGGAACTGACCTTTGCACTTCTATAGCCACCGCTGTCGCCCACTGCAAGGTATGCAAAACACTATATCCAATTTCCAAAATTCTACACACAACTACAACATCCGGTGTCGTTCGTTCGCGAGTTCCGAATCGAAAAGTTGGAAGAAAAAGGGATTCGCAGAGGAGAAAGTGATATCGAAATTGGAAGGGGATGAGATTACCAACAAATGGAAAGCATCGACGTAAGAGGAGGGAACATGCGACTACATCGGAAACATTCAAAATAGAAGAAGATATGCGGAGGAATGGACTTTCAACGATGCAGAACGGACGCACGAAAGAACGAACGAACGACACCATCTGTTTCCACCCGACAAAACCCATCCAAACCGCAAATGGCGAAGAAAACATCGAAAGAAACTAACAATGGCAACAGCAAGGCAAGGGTCTCATCAAGGTCAACGGCCAGCCCCTCTCTCTGGTCCAGCCTGAGATCCTCCGCTTCAAGGTACATATCCACACCTCCAAACTCTACCGGCCCCAATCTACATGACCCAAACATTCTTCCGACCCAAACCCACCCACCCACGTCGCAAATCAAGATATATAAGTGAGGACGAAACAATCTCTGACCCGAATACCTACAAAAAAATAGGTCTACGAGCCCCTCCTGATCGTCGGTGCCGACAAGTTCGCCGGCGTCGACATCCGCGTCCGCGTCACCGGTGGTGGTCACACCTCCCAGGTCTACGCCATCCGCCAGGCTATCGCCAAGTCCATCGTCGCCTACTACCAGAAGTACGTCGACGAGCACTCCAAGAACCAGCTCAAGCAGGCTCTTGTCCAGTACGACCGCACACTCCTCGTCGCCGACAACCGTCGCACGGAGCCCAAGAAGTTCGGTGGTCGCGGTGCTCGTTCCCGCTACCAGAAGTCCTACCGTTAAACGGCTCCCCAATTCTTCTCGGTATTCTTTTGCCTGTTTATATTCACTTTTTCTTCCGCTTCCGTGGCTGCTTCTCTTTTCTTGTCACGAATCCAGGAACAAGTGGGCTCGGTCCGGAGAGAAGTGTTTTTCAAAAAAGTTGTTTGCTTCTTCCGCCCCCTCTCTCCATTTTCTGATCTCTTCAGGCATGGGCGCGGGCTGGTAGACGGGTAAAAAGGATACGCAGAATGGTGTCGTCTTAACGGTTTGTACTCTGGGGTGGAGAGAGATCTGGTGCGGTGTGGTCCCATGTCCGCCACTGGACAATTCGATCATAGAGGAAGGTCTGGGTTGTCACAGTGGTTGTATGGATTGAAACGGTGCAATGCTGGCTCTGAAATTAGTATAGGCCAGGATTATCTGAAATATCACCCGATTTCTTTTTTTGTCTATCTGTCTCTCAGCCTAAAACTGGATTAAGCTTTAGCTTCTGTTCAAACTTATCTAATGATCAGCTGCCCACACGGGACCCCAAGCTGGATATTATGACTATCAGTATGCTGTCTTAATAGGAAAGCACAGTATGCTAAGGTATCTTGGAAAAGGAAACCACGACCCGCACCCGACGTAAGATTGAGGAGCCCTTTTGACACAAACGCCCCTCCCATCCCAGCTCTATGTAATCGTTCCCGCCTCACAACTTACGGACACCAGTTGAACCGGTTCTGATTCGCGCAAACATGACATTGATGCAATGTCCCCGCACACTCGCATGCTCTTGACCTAAACTCCAATTACCGCTGTACCGAATCAGATGCAACAGATTGTTCGATGCAGTAGACCACCGATGACATGATACGGAAGACGTTCAGCGAACGGAGGCAAGCAAAGGTCGAGAGGGTGCTTTGAAGGCCTTAAGCAGAAACGCTGTTGTCTGTCCAGCGGACGTTGCCGTTAAGGCGACCGCTCATTCCACCATAGCCATCGTAATCTTCGCTCTCATCGTCATCAGCCCCATCAAGGGACAGGATATGGAAGCGGTTGAGTACCGATGTGGATTTCCCAGCCGAAGCATCTTGCACTCCGTGTCTCGGTCCGATGGGTACCTTACCCTGCGATTGCGCACACTCGTCTGGATAGAACCCAATTCTCGTACCTTTGTACGTGAAACGGGACATCATGCAAGATCGCGCAAACAGGGCATTGTGCACGGAGTTGGTGGATATATAGGCATTGCCATTGTTGAATTTAACCGAGATTACGATAAGATTGTGGATATGCTCCAGATCTTTCCGGATGACCCACTCGGTGACGTTCGGATGCACGTTGTAAAGAACTAGGTTTCTCGAGGCTCCATTGCAGATCTTGTTTCTGACATAGGGAGGGACGTAGAACTGCCGGTCATTCCACAGCGTTTCGACCTAGCAAGATAAATGAGCCTTAGCGGGGGTGTGTCTCCAACCAACAGACTTGCACTTACGCGTTTGCCAGCCACCAACAGGCCGTGAGTGTTGCTATGCTGCAGAAAGGACCGGGCCGCAGCCTCTTCCACAAATGAAACACTTGCAATCCGCTCACGAGCCCTCAGGTAGACATGAACCAGGGCACCACTCTTCACAGCGTCGACAACGTCTCTGTAAGTGACGCGGTCGGGCAGGTTGCGGATCATCACAGTGCGTTGATCAGTAGGGGTCGCCGCAGATGCCTCGCTCCTGGATGAATCGTCGTGGTCCTCTGCTTTTCCGTCGCTGGTGGGCGAGTCGACTGAGGTGGCATCATCGTGGTCGTCTTCAGATGCAGCATCTAGATCGGAGCTCTCGTCTGAGCTTCTGCGACGTGGAACGGTTTCACGCTTTGTATGCCCTCGCTGTGGGGACGCGGTACCTGCTGTGTGGCCTCCAGTACCTGGAGGAGTCGAGGGAGGGCCATAGATCAAGATCTGCACGAAATCAGTAGGTAAAAGCGTAGACCTGCATGCAGACATTTCTCACATCGAGAGTCTCCTGCGACAGGCCCCCTTCGAGAAGCGAGTTCTTCAACTTGGCTGGGTCATTCGAGGTTAGAATAGAATTGCGGGACCCACAGGACACCAGCAAGCAACGTACAGAACTGCTGCGACGCTTGGAGCTGGGAACAACAGCAACAGCTTGTTAGTCGGCGATGCTCTCAAAAGGCTAAGACTGATTTGGTGCAATGCTTACCAGGCGCTTGTATTCGATTTCGGAGATGGTCACGGAGTTTGAATTGGGCGGGAGGTTTCGGAGGGCTTGGATCTATATACGACAGCGTTCAGTTACTCGGCCAGTGGATCGATGTCCTGTACATACGGCATCCAATCTAGCGAGGCATGAGTTATGTGCATTTAGTTCTGGACCGCTGAGGGAGAAGAGACGCACCTTCCAGCAGGAAACACCGAATCCATTTTATTACCAGAAGAAACAAACGCCGACATGGTGGCTAATACGGACGCCTGTGTAGTGGGTGTGTTGCGTGCTGCGTTAGTCGAGACCAGCGATCGACGGTCCAAGTATTGACCATGACGGTAATGTAGGGGTGGGAGGAAGGATACAGAAAGGTAACTTACTCAAGAGCAAATGGAGAATGCTGGACAAGCTTAGGAAAAAAGTGAAAGGGAATAGAGATAGTGTGAAGGAGGGGAAAGCAAGCAGGAGAGAAGGAAGTCGATATCGCAGCGCGCCACTTCACACGGGTTGGTGGTCTCGTTTGCGCAGGCGCAAACGACCAGCTCTTCGAGCTCACGCGGTTTCCATTCACCTCTTCGATGTCTCGAAACTGTCCAGGCATTGACTATTTACTACCAGCGCTTGTGTGACCAATGGCTCCGGATGCCTCTTTCAAGCGGCAAATCGTGGCTGCGCCATGTTCGACAGGTCAGAACTACTACAATGCCTTTGGGTCAAGGATTCTTAAAGTGACCGGGGTATCTTGCTAGATCCCTCTTACGCCACAACATTGTTCTTTTTCGTACCTATGGATTGCGGGGTGGCACGGCCTCGACCCAAGGTGCAACTGAGTTACTTTGCTGCTCTAGTCTACGCTTCATGTGTCTCGGTCGGGATAGGATTGATGCATGTATGCTGGTGCGTAAACAAAAAGGTAATCATATTTGAACTAAGTCCGTGATTTGGGTATCATTTTCATATCCACTACCCTTCGCATAGATTGTGTAGTATGGAAAATACCTCCTGGCACTCACGCTTCACCACACACCACGAGATACACAGCCACCGCTGCTGCTATATGGCTGGCATTAGGATGATCGCATTTCAGGACTGGTCAAAGCAGCGGGCTTCAGGTTCCACCGCCTTGCTGGTAGCAGGTGCAAAACCGAGACCACTTTCGTGTTTTCTGGGGACCATGCCTCTGCATAGTGTTCATGCTGGGTGATTTGATGATTCTCTGCTTCGAAGACATCAAACCTCGGAATATCAAAGCGATCGCTTGCTTCGCTCAAACCACACTGGTGGCTTACTGTCATTAGCCCTTCATCCAGTCTCGCCGGGAGCGACATCAACATCAATTTCCCCAGGCTCATCTTCTCGCTCAGCTGGTATTTCGACTCCTACAGCTCCTAGGTTCGTATTTCGTCCACCCCCTACTACACCCCGTTGTCTTGCGCGCCTGATCTGAATGATGTTGATGGCAATCTGGGTCACAAATATCGCCAGGAAGATTCCTAATACCAAGGTCTGCGGGATGTACATCTCCGAGTCCCGATTTTGCTCCGGCTCCTGGCGAGAAGTCTCGGATGCACGAGTATTCCCAAAGGAAATGGAGACCGACATGGTAAACGGTGTGAACGACGTGAAGACCGCCGTCGGTGGCGGTAAGAATGATAGACCAGGACCCAGAATCAATGGCACAAGGGAGAAGATGAGCAGAGGGACGGCTAGTCATAAGGCAGAAGAGAAAGATGGGCGAGAACCGGCCAGCCTGATTAGTAGACCATTGTGAGTGACATAGAACAATATTCAGGTTTGGATGGCAAGTGCCTCTACCTACCATTCTCGAGACCTTGACTTTTTGACCCATCGTGCAACAACTTTCAACCGGTCTCTGACACTAGTCGTTGATAACAATGAATATTTGTCGTCCTCCCACAAAGGATAGACGCTAGCAAGCCACCATGGGAACAGAGCGGGATCAGTGGGTGCATCGCCGTAGGCCATCAGGACGCGTGGATGAAGCCACGCGACTCCCTTACGACGTTGTTCGTCAATGAAGTCTAGAGCCAATTGGAATAGCTGCTGGGTCGGCAGGACTTCTATAGGGGTATCTGCAGGATCAGCACTTGCCGCCGGCGGCGCTTCCATTGTGACTGAGGTTTCCAATGACTCAAGTCGCTCTTCTTCAGTGATTGGCAGATCTTCCACACGTTGTACCCTGCCAACATGATAGCCGTCAACCACCTCCGAGCTGCTTACTTTGAATCGGGAGACGCCAGTGGCAATGACCAGACTTCTACCGTCTGGCAGAAGCTCATAGCGATCAACCATCAAGACTGTACCATATTGCATAAACTCAGACCGTCCCAATCCTGGCTGAGGCCGACTGCCACGGTTGTACATGACCATGCCGAATTTCTTGCCCCTCGTCTCCATGACCCTCCGCATCATTATGCGATATCGAGGCTCAAAGATATGCAGGAAGGTAGGCATGGTAGGGAAAGACAGCGAGTTCACAAACAGGGGAAGCGTTTGTTCACCGTCGGCGGCGGCCGTGTCATCAACATCATCGGAAGTGCCATCTTTCCGCACCGCCAACTGCTCGGGAAATAGCGTCTCCAGGATATTCGAGATCCTCAGATTGCTGGGCTCTCTTCGGGAAGTTAAGGACAAGTTGAGCTTCCGGCGACAAACAGGGCAGAGATCACTGTGGTCCATCACCATAGTGACGCAGTCGCGACAGAACGTGTGGCCACATGGCGTAGTCAACGGATCCAGTATAAGCGAGTAGCACACTTGACAGTCCAACTCATTCCTGATCGCATTCTTGAGCTTCGTATATGAGCGCTGGGTTGAGCTGTCAGCAGCCGAGTCTCCGACCGAATAGTGTACCTCCGACGCATCATAATCGAACCGGCCCTCTTTGACTAGACGGTAGACGCCCTTCAGCAGATCCGCCCCGATAGACCCAACCCCTGTGGTCAGTCCCTGTAGTGGATCTCGGGAGATTTTCCACGTCAATGTAGACGCGCTTTCGCTGGAACCATCTCCACAGTCGTCCGCCAGAACCTCCTCGAAAACATCGGCCAGTCGACTCAGTAAGACATCCGCTCCACAATCACCCACGCAATGCTCTCCGGAACACGCATCTGCTTTCCCCCAGTAGCATAAGAATCCATGCTTCCGCTCCTCGTTCGCGGGATACGTGATACCCGTACGTTGATAAATCGGCGGGAGACATGACCGGC